TATATCAGCAACAAATGGACAGACTATATGCGACCCAAAAATAGTGTTTAATTGGAAACTATATATTTGAGAAGTACACAAAGCACATAACTTTTAGGCCCTAAGTATTTCCTGACTTTTGGTGCACCTTGAAAAATTTTAACGCCATACAGATTAATAAAAGTCCTGCATTTTTACCATATCGATTGTTCCTTTTTCTCCTTTTCCTTTTTACCGTGCCCGATTGAGTCAAGCACAGGGAGAAGTTGAAGATGTTGCAAGTGGGAAAGAGAGCTTATTGCCTTATAAATAATTAGCGGATAACAGAAGACAGCTGTAATCATCTCATTTGAAAACGCCTCGGCTGTCTTTTATTCAGACCTGGAATTCTTAGGATGGCGAGCGAAAATTCTTGTTGAAATATGTGCTGATTGGTAGAGTTTAAGAAGGGGCTCAGAAGAATCGGTTGAAAAAGCATTTTAATCGCCCCTTACCTGGGATGCATGATGTCGGAAGCGAAAGAATCAGCCATCTTGTTGGAGGTTTTATCAAATTGGAGGTAGGGATAGTTGTTCAACCGGATTTGTACGTCGTATAGGCTGCCCTTATACAACCGGTCGCCTGTCCACTTGGCAAACATGGACGCCACCATTATAGGGATGCTGTAACTCAGTCTGAGGAGCAGCAAAAAAGGGATTACTTGGCGCTGAGGAGACAGTCATGATAGGCACTTCAAAAATAGCAGATTTGATTATTTAATGAAATTAAGATCGGTATGATTCCTACAGAAATGAGGGAATGGAAATGAAGGAGAGATATAGGACTCTGATATCATAAAAGTTAACAGCTGCATGATAGTAAGGATAGAGGACGCCCGTGCATTCACGAAAATCCACTAGAAATTTTGGGACCTCAACCGTGGGATCAAGGACGAAATCATCGATGACTTTTGAAGAGGATGGAAAAATAATGCAGACTCCTTCTACGATCGAAATCCCTCAACAATTCGTTGCCAAATGAAAGAGTGGGAGAGGAGGAAGCTTGACATGCAGTTGGTTTGAGCATTCAAGCTGGCTTGTATCAGTTGATTGCAATTTAATCACATTCGAATGCTTTATGCTTGCACCATAATGAAAATAGAAGTGTGATGGAATTGTTACTGGTTATCCGAATCGGCACGACTCAAAGTCGGCGAAGTGAAAAAAAAAACCTACCAAAAAGAAGTTAAAAGAAGCGCAAACAACTCATTTCACGACATGCTGACCAAATCAAAAACACTATAACCCCGAAGAGCGTTCGATGTTGGCAGAATAAAGTGGTGAAGAAAAAAGGAAATGAATTGATGAAGTTAGACTACCCGCCAATGATTTCAATCATGATGACGACAAGAGAAACAGTGGCACGAGTGACTCCTCCCAGGCAGGCAGCGGCGCCAACCACCGCATAGAGGCCGGTATCGATGCAGGGATGGCCGGGCTTACAGAGCCGATGGTAAAAGAGAGAGTGTGACATCTGCGTCACTACTAACTGCTCCACCATTATCCCCATCAGGCGGCCCAGAATGGCTCCAACCTAGGTAGAAAAGTAAGAATTAATAGGCTTCAAGAGAGGAGGAAGAGGAACAACGAAAAAAGATCAGGGAAAGTAGGACGGCTTTTATATAGCAGCCAGGAATGCAACACGCATGAGAACTACGTTTAAGCCACTTTAGTGATTACAGAGTGTTACCCTACGTTCATGAGGACAAAAGGGCACTAGGAAGCATGATTTTCAGTTCTACTGAAAAAAATGCGTCACAAAATGCGAAGAAAAGGAGAGCTACAGTAGGAGGAAACATGCACTACCCAAACAAATTTAAAAAGAAGTGCAAGTGTCATAGTTCGGGTGTAGCATTGCTTAAGATATCGATTGCAGACCTTGAGAGATATGCCTGCTACCAATGCCTTTCCGCCCCCGAGAATCATATTCATGCTGGATGCCACTCTAGCCGACTTACTTTCCAATGATCAAAGATGAGGAAGAGAAGATATAACATCCTTGAAAATGCCGGGGACGTGAAGTAAGATAAAGGAGCATAAACGGACATCCAGGCAACCAGAGTCCCAACAATGGTGCTTTGCTAACGAATACGGTACTACAGAGTTCCCACATCCGCTTCTACCTTTGGACTCGACTTGATAGAATAAAGGGTGGAAAACCAAGGCTAGCGCATCCTACGCACCAAGACGGCAGTCAAAATGGTTGAAAAACGAATTTAAGTAGTTGAAACTGCCTTCTGAGTGGATGAGGAAACGATGGAGATGCCTGCAACCCCTAAGACCCTTCTTACCAAATTCTCAAGGCTTTTGGAACGCCAAGATCTTGTTTGGTCTTGTCTGATCGGCTGAGGGGACGTATCGATGCCCTTTAAATGCTCTACTACTCATTATAAAGACAAGGTGAATCAACGCCAAGCAGGACAGGTCGGCATTGTGTATACAACAACGCAATCAAGGAATAAGTGAAAAAATGATTTTGTTCATTTTGCAACACGCTATAAACATCAGCATGGTAAATCTACCAAATTTACCATTGGATGAGAACGGGATAAAGCTGTGGAAAAAATAAGATTATTTATGCTGTTGTGATGAAAAAGTAGCTTTGGAACTTTGGATGTTAAATAAGGGCACAAACGGTATCAGAAGTGTCGCAGACAGAGGTAGACACTCCAAGTGGAGAAATTTTTGAAAAAAATGATATGTCACGGACTTGTAATCGTCCTAACGCTTCGACTTCCCCGATACTTTTGTATTGTCTAGTAACCCTGGTAAAAAGGATCACGTTTTTCCATTGTACTTGAAAATAAGGGCAAAGTGAGGGAAAGT